CATATCGTATCACATATTCACATAAACATGTAATCCACTTTCACATAGCTGTCACATAGGCATGTATTTCATATATTATAATTTCATATAGTTCAATATCACATATCACATATACATGTAATCATGTACTCATACACACATAAGCATCATATCAGTCACAAATCAATAACATTTTAGGAGTCACTTCTTACCATAGTAACTCTATCACGCTCATCACAAGCCAATGTTTATTCGATAACATAAGTACAATTAAATTGCATCACCTTAGCTTTGCTTTGATTCGATTCTAATCCTTCAATTGTTTCTGAATGGGATCACGTCTATTCTACATATCATTCATAGATCTATATAAGTATTATAACTAATATACTCTAATGGTTCACTCCTTAGACTAAGAAAAATGCCAATTTCATCTTTCAATGAAAGTATGCATCGATGCACTACTGATGCATCGGTGCTAAAATGCATTCGATGTATTATCACTGGGATGCATCGATGCATGCTTATGCATCGATGCACTAATTACATTCGATGTTTCTATTTTAAAAGAGTGCATCGATGCACTACCTATGCATAGGTACACCTTCAAACAAAATCTGGGTTTTAACCTTGATGCACGATGCACTATGAATGTGCATCGATGCACTCTGCCCAGAACCTCTTTTTGAACCGAAAATCATCAACTCTTCACTTAAATGCTTCATATTTCATCCCCTTTCATAATCCTAACTTTCATATACATGTTTAAACTCACTTATAATCATTTATCCCATCTTTAACCTTAATATCCTCTCCTCTTTAGGAACTTCAAGAATCATACCCTATTTTCACATGTTCAAATCCAATTCTAACATTTAATACTTTTAAGCTGATGACAAGTCAAATTAGTTCCCAATTCAACTTATCATCTCTTTTCCAAAGATTCACTTAAAAACCCATTTTCTTTAATCTTTCATAACTCCTTTATCTTTGATTTTAAGATAACTTAAGCTTTCCTTAAGCTAGTTATCCTCTAATGATCAAAAACCTTTAATTCACAAATAATCAAGAATTCAGAAACTCACCTTTGCTTAGCTTCCACGGGGAGGAGGAAGAAGAAATGAAGAAGAAGATGAAAATGTTTTCATCTTCCACGTTTTCATCTCTTATAAAAGGGATAAAATATCTTTAATGTCAAATGACCATTTTACCCTTTAATTCTTTTAATAATTACTAACAACTTTTAGGAAATATTTTCAAACAAATCACTGAACTAATCCATTCTTCTACTTTAGTCACCAAATTCTGAAACTTTACAATTTGGTCACTAACCCATAGTTTGGGATGTTACAGGGCATATAGGGGTAAACAATAAGTCTTGCAGTTTCTGTCATGGAGAGTCCGTAGAGTCAGAAGGGGGTTCCGATGAACTGCTAGGCTAATCATCTTGACTTCAGTCTGAAATTTGATTTCACCTCCGATGGCATTTCCATCTTTAAGCCTTTTCATAGGTATCGTTGTTCCATCTTGGAGATACCCTTATATACATTTCCAAACCTCCTTCGCGACCAAGTACGTACTACTGAAGTGTAGCTACCTGAAGCTCCTTGAAGTGGAACCTCGTACAATTTCCAAGGAAAACTTCTTCTCTATGTTCTTTTGAAATGTTCAAAAGAATGTGATTTTAGGACCAATGTTTCTCGAACTCGATTACGAGTGTTGATTACAGATATATGTCAAGGTCTTTTCATGTAAGTACAAGGTCCTTGGTGGGTTGTGTATCCTTTATCATGTATAAATATGTATTGAACACAAATGTGAGTATAAATGACAAATAAAATTCTCTAACCATCAAACATCCAAGAATATTTGCTTGTGCTTCTTTGCCTTTCTTTGTCAGTTATTCAAGGAAATAGACATGGACATCGGTCTTGTTCTGGAGCAGGGTTGCTCATCCCCCGCAGAACAGATGAAAGGGTTTCCGACAATGTTGTATCAACTAATAAAATCACGTAAGCACAGCAATAAAACAAAAACAGTATGAATTTTTTTAGTCTATTCGTTAATAGTTGGATTTTTCTTGTTTTAAACAAGGTAAAACACAAGAACAAAAAGCGTAACCCCTGAATAAATAAACCAACTTGAATGTTTTTGCAAGCAACCTTGGCATTGTACCACTCAAGTTATTGGAAAACAAATCCCTCATACATGCATCAGTTTGCAAAAGAAAACTCGTGGGGATTCATAGGATTCAGAGAATTTACAGGAAAGTGAGCTGAGACATGTTTGTTAAAGAGGAAGCTAATGTTCCTGAGAGACTGTAGCACTTATGGAGTTTGTAACCCGAACAAGGCCTGATGCAGTCGCTGTCCTTAACGCATTTGGTGGTCGGAAGACAGACAAAACGCCGGTTTCTAAATGACAAAACCCGCCCTGTGGACACTCGGATACACATTGTCACTTGCACATTTTCCTGCTTCCGAGTTCAACACACCTGCAAAAAGAAAAAAAATTGATTACAAAATTACTAACAAAAAATGTCACTCGAATTTTACTATTTCTTCTTTAATATTCACGTGTTGAACAACTATTGACATGCAGAAAGGTTGTGTACATACTAACAAGAAGCTACAAGCAAGGCGCCGAGTGGAGAAGCAATGCCAAAAGAAGCCATTATGTTTGTCTGGAAGTTGATTGGAGTCGATTATCGGCACTTTGTATGTACATAAATCCATTTTTGCTAACATTGCTACCATTATCTTGTTGTTTTTATTTTTCATAGAATATTTTTAATACAAAATTATAAAATTTATTTAGATTAAATTAATTTTAAGTAGTATCAATTTAAATTTTGATTTATGTTCTAATTTAAACCAACAAAACAAAGCTGGCAAATAGTTGGTCATTAGCATAAACTTCTCCCTATAAAACACTTGTAATCTCTGCAATCCAAGTGAAGCTCAAAACCACCGACTTTCATATCTTCCTCACTTTCGTAGTTCTCAAGAACTTTAATAATATTGAGATATTAATGATACTTTCAGAACTTTTGAGTTGATATACTTAAAATTATTTAAACTTTTAGAATTTAATGAAATTTTTTAAAATTTTAAGGGGCTGGAACAAATTTTCAAAAATATTAATCATCAAGTTTCAGTTGTGGCTACTAGCATACTTGAATATAAAATTTCATTCCTCAAAAAAAAAACAGCTTAAAAATTCATGTTTCGACTCTGCTGGGGATCGAACCCAGAATCTCTGGTTCCGTAGACCAGCGCCTTATCCATTGGGCCACAGAGTCGGGTTGTGTTACGCAAAAGGAATATATTTTCATACCAGTTTGGTCACCTCAAAAACTTTGAAACCACCTTAAATAATAAATAATAAAATTTGTTTTAGAATTATAAATTAAAAATTGAAATTATATTATTCTCTTGGTTTTTTCCAATTTAACTACCTATTCTATTGTTAAAATTCCTTTAAATAAATTTTATGTTTCGTTTGAAAATCTAAATTTAATACAATATAGCTAAAAATATAAAATATATAGTTTTACTTTCTCTTTTATTTCGTAACTACCTAAAATTCTGAGTCAACATTTGAGAATTGACCTAAATTAGTAAATAGTAAATTTAAATGCTTTTGACTTAAAAAGTAAAGCTTGGGCCTAGTTGGAAAAGAATTTGAAGCTCAGTTGGTAATTAAGGGAATGAAGAAAGACCTGATAAGGAAGAAGTTAGATCGCAGTAGAGATTTAATGAGACTAAAGTGTTATAGGTGATTAAAGATAAAAAATAATATTAATGATTTCAAAATATATTTTTCATAGGCAAAATTTAAATATAAATACATAAACAAATGAAAAATAATTTAAGGTTGGTTTCATGAACCTTGGAAGAATTGCACAAAGAAAGTGGACCATTCCATTAATCCAATAATTGAAGAACATGAAGAAACATTGAGAAGACAGTGTTTGTCAGTTAGCATTTAGAATGGAAAAAAGTCTATACAAAAAAGAAAGACGATGAAGAAAAAATATCCATGAAAAGAAAAAAGTTGACAAAAACATACGATAGATTGATGGACTTGGACCTTGTAATGATTCAGAAGACTTTTGTTTCTTGGTGAGGCTTCAAAGACACAAATGGAAATCCACGACTGCATGAACAATCCCAGTGGGTAAAATAAAATCAAAGCTACAAACTATATTTACCATCTTAATTTGTTTAAGAGTTTACTGTTGTGTTCACTTCCTTATAGGTTCTTTACGCAAACCATTTTGATATTTATGAGTTTCTGTTTTTGTCCAATCATTTGGCGTTCAAGGGTTTTCATGATGATGAAGAAGAGCCGTGAAAGAGGCAAAGCTGTGGAAGTTTGCAACGATAATGTTGGTCGTTTCCATGATTATTACTGAACATCGTCGGATGTTCCATGTAAGAAACATCCACAACAGTTTCCGTTCGGTGTATGTGCGTATTGTCTCGAGGATCGTTTGCTCAACTTGGTTTGCTCGGACTGTGGCGTTCAGCGCCTGTCGAGTTGTTCTTGCTCGGAAATCTTCTCCGATCATCGAAGTTCATACGGCGTTGGTGGCCGTGTCTAGTTCTTGATAGAGAATGAAAACAAGGAACAAGTTCGGAAATCAGAAGAGGTCTTTTTAATCGAGAGAAGCAATAGTAGATGCGTTGAGATGAAGAAAAAGAGTGGGTTCTCGAAGATTATAAGATTGTTCAAGAAGAAAAGAGAGAAAGATTGTGATAATTGCGGCGGGGTTGATGAGAAAAGTGATGATTTGTGGGTTGTTACTTGTATCGGAGTCTCGAGGTCAAGGTCTCTTTGTAGCTTCAGGAGCGGTGGGCTTTTCGAATCAAAAGATGGAACCGATTTGATGAATTTTTCCGGTGTTAGGAGCTCCTTTTCGGCTGCTCGGAGCTCTGGTTCCAATGGCGGTTTGGGTCTGCATAGTGAAAGTAAAGTTGCCAATGCCGGTGATGGGGGTTTCAATAGTGCATAATACATGAAAAAAATTCGAAGATCGACTTAATACTCCATAATACATGAATTATTATGGTGAAATCTCAAGCACTGCAATACGACTTGAGACCATATCCTAGAAGAGCGCCTCGAGCAGCCTTGGCGGAGTAAAGTCCCAAAAATTCTTCGTAGTCAAAAGGTTTGAAGAGCAAGCTGTTTTTGTCATCAACCAGCTCTTCTGGAACCTTTACTTGATACCCACCTCTAGCTATTGCAAACAATCCAATGCTGTATCTGACCTTGTTTCCCTTCATCACAACTCGATGATATGGGGAAGACAATCGACCATTTAACCATATCTGCAACAATATACATTAAGATCTTTGTTGTCTCCTAACACCCATTAATAATATTATTCTTATGCATTAGATGGTCCGTGATAAAAAAGAATATTGTTCTCTCAAAAAGATTCATGTTTTAGTAATTGTGTCTGCATAGTGTATGTATTGTTAATAAACTAAGAACATATACTATCTTATAATCACACAAGATTATTCAAAAAAACATTATATTAAACTTACGCTGAGGGACTCTCCAAGGATGAAGATGAAAGAGTTCGGTGAGGGTTTTACATTGATCCATTCGCCATCTTTGTTCTGAATCTCCAATCCATCAACCTCATTTTGATATAAAATAGTCGTCAAGTTCTGGTCCGAGTGAGCCCTAAGGCTTGGCTCGCTAGTTTCAGACCCTTCATATTTCATGACCTTCAGAAGATAATTTGTGGAGTCAATGAACTCATCCGTATATTTCTCCACGCCAAAATTCTCCAAAATCATCCTCCTAATTATCTTTTCCAACTCTGATGCTAGCTCAGTGAAAGATACCAGAGATTTACTGCCAGTCCCAGAGTAGTAAATCAATAAATCAAACTATTTTAATTTTTTTTAAAATCTTGATGTAAGAAAAAAGGTTTTGTTACTCCAAACCTGAAGCTTACGTTTCCTTTAGGCCACAGGGTGTTAGTGAGGCCTGTTTCGATGTTTTCGACAACCTTTGCATCATCTATGACCATGCATTCTTGCCCAACTCCTGATGAATCCCCATAATAACCACGAAAGGGCTTATCGGAAACATAGTGTTGTTTTGTCTGAAAAGGCAGATCAAACAGGTCTTCCAGGGCCCCGAGTATCGGCTTTCGAAGATCCAGGACTCGGTCGAACATAGCCGGAAAAACCGTACTCTTCCAGTGCCTCGAGGACTTGACCTTCACCGAATCCCATTCGGGACTGCCTGCCTTCAGGCCATGCTTTGAGAAATCTACGATCGGGAGCCTAACAGGAGTTTCTGAACTCATCTTTGCTTTCTTCTTCCGATGTAAACAATAATAATGGATTTTGAGTGTTCAACTTAGACTTCCCGTTCTTAAAAATCATTTTTTTCTATTAAATCATAGACCCGACGTATGTGATTTGGATCCATACTTTTTTTTAATACAAATCCCACCGACTCTTTGGATTTATATTATTATCTCTTGGAACTGCAGCAATTTAATCTTAATTAATCACATATACGATTCCTCCTTACCATCTAAAATAAATAAATAGATTTGAATGATTATTATATCTCAATCTATCAAATTAAAAAAAAAATAAAAAAGACATTAAAAATGACAGTGATGTACTGATTAAGAATAACTATTATAGTGAGATTATTAAATTTCGAGAAAAAAATTATAATTAACATATTATTAATATAGATATATTAAACCTATATTTTAAAAATTTTTCATAAGTATTATACTAAACCTAAATTCTTGAGTGCATAAAGATCTTATTTTCAATATAAGACTCAATTTTAACTTTTAAAAATCTAAGTTAGATTTAAATTTTAATTGGATTGTTATAAATCAAGTATTGAATCCACATTCTTTTAAATGTTATAGTACAATGATATTAATTAAATTAATTTAATAAATTATAATACATATCCCTTGAAAAAATATTAAAAACATGCGAATTAACAAATCTTTTAATGGGTGAACTCAACGAAATTCATAAAGAATAATGCAAGGTAAATGAATTTATGACTCATCTTTACTTCCTTCCTATTTTTATCACTAAATCTAGTGTAAGGAGAATCAAGACTCGTCATTCATGTGAGGAAGAGCAACAGGGATCAAAATCAAAATGGCTCACTTCTGGTCTCTTGCCAAGGCCATGGAGTAGAAGATTCTTTCTGAATGTACTGCCAAAAGAAAAACCATATATAAAAGTTCCCATGGTAACTATCCAAAGGAAAATTGCTGTAGTTATGCATATGGTAGCAGAAGGGTTGTCTCACAGTACTACTAGGTATACTGCATAGTAACTAACTCATTGTTTGCTATTTTTGCTCTGGCGCTATGGCAGCAAATATTTTGTAATTCAGTTATTTCAGTTTTATGGTGAACTTGTTTTGCTGATCATTGTATTAAATGCTTATTTATCTATTTAATCTTTAACAGGATGATAACTTTTAGATATAATAGACCTGATATGGATGCTGTCAATCGTCTTTATTATCTTTTAGATTTAGAATATTTCCAGTTGCTGGAGCTTTTGAAGTATACATTCATATCTACAGAAAAAAGTCGTGAAAGTCTTGTAAAATGTTACTACTTACTACCTTGGCAGTTTCAAATTTTACAGTTTATACCCAAGCACCTCAGGAAAAATTTATGTACATGGTGATACAGAATTTTACTTGAATTTCTGCTCTTAAGCCCTAGCAGAATAGAGCTATGGCCTATGAACATAAACGGTTTGAGGATGTTTTGTTCTAAAATTATATTTGTTAGTAATTTTTGTAAGTTTGAACTTCATGTATGTCACTGGGTGTCAGTCTGCCAGACACATCTTGACCAGTGTAATTGGGGTATGGTATAATACATCAATTCTGATCGAGTAGAAGGGTCATAGAACTGTGTTGATTGAAAGTTTAATATATTGTTTCGAATGCTGGTGATAGCCTGAATTACTGCCTTCCATCTTGGGCAAATAATTTTGCGAAATATGTTATTGTACATAGTTTAGCCTTAATTCCCTTGATTATTATTTTTCTTTGACTTCTTTATGGGATTGAATTATGCACACAAGGTTTTCTTTCATCTAAAATCTTCTGAGATATATGGTTTTGTTCTTTATATTTTTCCCAGGCTTTCTTAATTGTTTTGTTTCTTTAATATTTTTTTGGGATGGTAAATTTAGTTCTGATATTTCTATTTTTGGACCTTTCACTCAGGCAAAAAATACTCCTGGTTGTTTTCTTCCTTTGGTTTCCCGAATTTTACCATATATTGGACCAGTATTGAACAAAGTATGACCTTTTAAAGTTCCTTCGGTGGTAGTGGGATTTAAAATGATCATCGTTAATGTATCTACTCACTGCAATTTTCCAGCGCCAACAACAGCCAGGACTAGTGGCTGGGTCATTGGATCTGTTAACTATGCTACTAAAGGCAAGTGATACTTGGATGGAAGAATGTCATAGTACCTAAATTCTATTTTTTTAAGAAGAGTATGTTTGTACTACATTGTTTCGCAACTACAGTTTATGATAGCATTGTTCAGAATGCTCCTGATGTGGTAAAAGCTCCATTTGATGTTTGTTTTGATGCTATTATCCGAATAGTTCTTGAAAGTGATGACCACAGTGAAATGCAGGTATAACTTCTCACTCATTTTTTGTTCTTTAATGGTAATCAACTATCTAAAATGTGAAAATAAATGCTTCTTTTCTGCTACCATTGATCAGAATGCAACAGAATGTTTGGCGTCTTTTGTATCTGGTGGAAGACAAGAACTTCTTGCTTGGGGTAGTGATTCTGGATTTACAATGCGGAGTTTGCTTGATGCAGCTTCAAGGTTACTTCATTCTTTACTTTCTGAGCTCCCCCCCCCCCCAAAAAAAAAAAGAAAGAAAAAACCGTCTTCCTCCTTCCAAACTCATTTTGTCTTTGCTTTTGTTTGCACTGCTTGGGAATCTGTCAGTCTGAGTTGAGTTTATGGTCATGCCATGCATACCAAAACAAAAGGAAAAGTTCTTTTACTTAGAATTGTTTTTCTTAAGTATAATCAAGGTTCTCTTGTTAATCTTTATCAACTGTTTTTGGGATCGAACTGGATCATGGTACAGGGGTTGTGCTGTTGATATTGGCCATTTGGTTTGCTTCTCTAAGATGTATTTGAAACCTTGTTCAAAGTTTCAACACACCAAAAAATATTCTGCTGAAGGCTTAGGGGTTTTATTTTATTTTATAATCTACTGATTTAATTACTCTGATTTGTAAAATACACAAATTCTTTCTTAAGGAATATATGAAGAGTAATACTGTGTTGATAAAAATTTCTGTCCATTCATGCTGGAGGGAGTCACTAGCGTTCAAAAGGTGTCCTAGTACTGGTTCTAATGTTATAAAATAATATAAAATATAAAACAAATTAGGACAAATACATAGGAGAGAGCTCTCTCTCCCCTTCCCCCCATGTCAAAGAGTTCAGAGATGTTGTCTGAGTTGGAGCCTGCAGGGATGGGTGTTGGAGCCTGAACTGACCTCCGAGGATGATGTGGGTAAGTTCTCCATGATTTTCTAGGATTGATAACCTAGCCTAATACCATGTGAGAAGTCGAGAGAAGCGAAAATCGATTTTCCTGATCAAAAACTCTTGCTGAAAACAGAAAACACAATCTGTTTTAGTAGATTGTGGATTACAAGTTAGAATCCTATTAGGTTTCCTTTCTTCCTAACTTTTATCTTTTAAAACTTATCTCCTAAGAAAATAAAGCCTTATCACACGATACAGAAATTACAAATAAATTAAACTCCTAATTATCGGCAGCTTTCTACAATTTCCTCTTAACAATATCTTTCCTAGAGTATATTATCTTTCAGTGTCGGCCACTTTTGGTTTTGTAGTTTTTGTGATTTACAGTATCAAATGAATGTAATCTTTTTCTGTTCCTTGTTAACTTGTGATTATGAACAAATTCCATATTTATGAAAAGGAAAGGAACCGTCCATCCTCTTTCAGTCACTTTCTGATCTGCAAGAAAATTAAGCGTGCATTTGATGTTCCTTCTCATACATCCTTTGGGATGCAGGGGAGATTCAAGGGGCATATCAAATCAAAGTTACTACCAGTGCTTTAGCCCTACTGCTATCCAGTAGGCATCCTGAATGAACAAATATTAATGTCCAAGGCCATCTAATTAAGGTTCATGATATTTCTTAGACGCTTGAAAATCATTTTCTCATGGACGTGCTTACTAGGAAGTAACTTTTTTTTTTGAAGCCTATGTCAGGGATAACAACTCGTTCAAAAGCTAAATCTGCTCCGGATCAGTGGACTATAATGCCACTTCCAGCAAAGGTATTTCTATTCTTTTCAGAAATGTCCGACAGAGAGATTGCCTTGCAGATATTGAACACAAAACAATGGTCTAACTACTGCTTATTACTGCAGATTTTGGCTTTACTGGCAGATGCATTGATTGAAATACAAGAACAAGTTCATGATACCGAGGACGAGGTAGTTTTTGTCCTCTTTTACTATTTGCCATGCTCTGTATTTATGGTTCATGGGAGGTTATAATTTTCCCGAGTTCAAACCAACGTTCTGTATTTCCAGGGGGTTAATCCCCAAGTTTAATAGACCCACTTCCCCAAATAATGATAATGACAGACAAGGGTGGATGTTTAGGCTCTGAACCATTTGTTTTGCAGGGTAGTGACTGGGAAGAAATTCATGGAGACATGGACTCAGACAAAGATTTGTTATCCTCTGCTGCTGTCACGCCATTTGATAATGGATCTTGACCATTTGATTAATGATTTTTCATCCTTTCATTGAAAGCCTAAAAGCTCTCATTTAAACCAGAGAATAGGTGGGAGTGCATGGATGAATAAAACTGGTAAAATCAAACGTTAAAATATGCGTACCATCCGATCATCGTCATAAAATATATGAATGTGTTCAATTTAATTAATATAAACTACTATTAATATGTTAAACAATTTGAACAAAACTATGGGGATTTCCTACCTTGAGAATATCACAATGACAACATGGTCACACAATCCAACACTCAATTTTCATACGAGCATAAAACCCAATAATCTCAATATACAAATAGTTCTTAAACCTAACGTAGTCAGCTGGCAGCTTTGAAAGTAGCGGATGCCAAGTCGGAGTAGATGGTGGTGAAGACGACAGCAGGGATAATAACGTCAGTAATGATAACATGGTCCCTGATCGTGAGACGCATAATCTGCGATTGCTTCTGCTGTATTATTTGTTTTACTGAAACTTGTTACTTTCATTCATCACTGTGATACAAGTCCCAAGTGAATGCCGTTGTGTACGTGTCCAGTGCAAGTTATATCCATACCACCTTTCTCGAGTTTATATGCTCTCTTTCACAAAAGCGGTACTCAAACCAATGCTTTGCAGATTCGTACTCCATTACGCTCGATTAAGTTTCCCGATATGGGATTTGGACTCAACATACTCAACAAAGCTTTCAAAGAGTTCCTAAAATATAGAAATAAAATGTAAACAAAAAGAACAATTACGTATAATATGCTTCAACCCATGATGAATGTCATAACCATAAGACAGAAATATAGGTGCGAATGTGTCATACAAGCTCAAAAACAATTTGACGAAGAGATGAAAAGAAAAAGAATTAGGATTAAATTGACAAAAATTATAAACATTAAGGGTTGGCTAATTTATCAGTTTCTTTATGTATGAGCAGCAGACTCAACAAGTAAATAATAATTTGGTTAAGCAAATAACTTCAATATCATAACTAATATTTTTGCATTCCATATAGTGGCAAATGAAAATCCAAGGGAGCTCTGAAGGTATTCTCAACATTTGAACAAGAAACAAATTTTTACAGAATCAGCACCAGCACCTAAATCTATCAAGTCTTGAAATTCCGAAAACCATTCCAGTCACCAAATATCTATCAAGCCAACTCCTTTAGCGCCTTGCCCAAATCAAGTACACTCTTACCGAACGAGTCAAGTCAATCCGGTGACCAGCCGAGATGAAATCGTTGAACTCTTTAACACCCTGAACCTCTGTTATGGGCCCTCGTTTCTACGGCTGCTGCTTCTCACAATGCTGAAGTACCCAAAAAAGAAAGAAAACTGTGCCCCATTAGCAATTTCTTTAAATTTCAGTATCTGAGACCATGGCTCTTTTCTCAAAATGGGCGCGTAAACATTACATAACAACACTGAAAATTTGATTCAATCCAGACACCCTTAATCATACATATTTCACACTTTGTAGGATCCATATAGATAGAATCCCTCCTGAATTTCCCTAGCAGTAACCCATTTGCCTCACAAATCACAACCCCAAATCTGCTACAGTTCCATTTCTTGTACAAATAGCTCTGAACAATAAATCTTCTAACAAGTTTTTCTAATTAAACTCTCTTAACCAATGCTCCATGACCTCTGATATTCCAGTCCAACAAATCATTTTACAAAACTCAACGCACCTAACGATAGTTTACTTTGAATCTAGCAAAAACCGAAACCTCTCTTAACCAAACTAGTCAATCTTTCAACCACTTACTCATCACTACAATTTGCTATAATGCCAAGCATCTTCCCAACTTCCCGGATTTGTTCAGTCTCCTTCAAAGCGACTTTCACAGCCCCTGCATCGACAGGTATTACTTGAATCTCCTTGTTACCCTTTCTGCCACTGTTGCTTTCCTCATGTTTATATGCTCTCACACAAATGATACAGTTCTCAGAAACCAATACTGGTTGCAGAATCATTCTCCATTACACTCAATGAAGTTACCCGACATGGGATTTGGACTAAATTACTCAACAAGCTTGCCAAGAGTTTCTAAAATATGGAAATAAATGCAAGAAAAGAGACCATTTATGTATAATTTACTTCAACTCATGATGAATGTCATTACCACAAGACAAACAAGTATGGATGCGAATGTATCATACAAGCTCAAAATGTCAGCAGGAGATTCAACCTGAAGCTAATACTTCGGGTTAGCAAATCACTTCAATATCATAACTAAAATTCTTGCATACCAAATCATACATACATTGGTTAAGCCAACACATGCACTTCCAGTTAAAACCAGATTCTAATCCTGAAAAGGTTTAAACCAGCTTTTGCAGCAATGAGCAATGCCATGCGCAATGCAAAGCTCATAAGCACAAAAGCACTTAAAAACCTTAGAGAAATGCAGATTTATTTGATCAGAACCCTATTTAATGCTAACATGACCAGGCAGATTAAGTGATAAACTTACTTCGTCAAACATTTATCGAACACCTTTTTTGATTTCCGTTAATTTACTTAAAGCGTGAACTTGGATTTGATTTCCTAATTCATATTCAAAAACTGTCTAGAATTGCAAAGAACAAATTCAAAAGGGGAAACTGAAAATTGATTGAAAATATTATTATTATTTTTAATTACGAAACTAGAAAATAGTAACAGAATCTACAAGCTAGGGCTAAAAAAATCTCAAATTCACAGATTGAACTAGTTTCATTCACTAGTTAACAAATCCACAACCGGATCCGCTAAATTCAAATCCGACTGTATTGAACTCTGAAACAGCATTCCCTTGGCCGCGATTAACTTCCTCCTCTGGAGACATCGGGGGACCGTAGACTCTAGCTGTGGGCACAAAGCAAGGGACGCCGTCCATGTCTGCTGCGGAGGAGGGTTGACTATCGTTAGACGGAGGAAAGGACAGAGAGATCTGGAAGAGGGAGGTAGTTCGGTGCGATCTGGCGCTGATCCGGGAGTCTCTGAGACGAGCTAGGGCGCCGGGTTTGAGGTATTTTAGGAAAGGCTCGGATGGAGGCGCGGAATGCCTGGCTAAGGACCGGCATCTCCGATTCATGATCGGAAACAGAGCGTTAAGGTATGGTGAAAACGGAAGGCTCTTTTGTTAAAGAGGGAGATGGGGTTTGGCCGTTTGGAGGATTAGGGCGGATTTTTATGGAGTGCGAGAGAGCGGGAAAATAAGGGAGGGAATTGGGGGTTTCAAACCGCCTGCCCAATTGGTGACGACTGCTTGGGCTTACCCCGACCCGTTGGTCCACTAGTTAATTTATGTGGCCTTTTTTAATAGTGTACAGTTAATATAATATAATATAATATTTATTTATAATTTTTTTAATTATTGATAATATATATACACTTTACAGATACAATTGTTTGATTTTGAGACTTCTACAGAGAATATCACTTTCTTTTACTATTAAGATCACTTGGTATGTTCAAATATCTCTAAAAGTTCTTAATATGAAATACAAATATATCATCTACTAACGTTTAAAATTTTAACAGTTAGAACCCATCAAGTGACGTCGGTGATTAAAAAATGTTATTTTAATTTTTGTTGAGGTCATAGATTCAAGCATCTATGTCTGTAAGGCGTATGTGTTTTTAATAATTAAGAAATATTTTTATACTACCTTATAATTACCCCAAATTATTAAAAAAAAGAATTTTAACAAAGTTAAAATTAGCTATAAATCCTTATATTCTTTTTACCTCCTAAATTTACTTCTCTTGTTCTTATTTTGAGGAATTTAGTTCTTCTACTTTTTTAATTTAAAATTGTAAGTTACCAAAATTTAATTTTCAAAATTAAAACAAAATTAATAATTCTTATAATTTACCCTCTAATATAAAGAAACTTAAATAAAAAAAAATATATCAACGGGGCTCATTTTTCTATTATATCTATTAAATAATGGAATATAAAAATAAGATAGTAACTCAAAAGCATTTCAGTCACCTCAGTTCAGTTCGAATGTTCGATTCTCTCTCCACGCGCCTTTCACTTCTTACATTAGTTCATGTTTAACGATATAAAGCTAGAAATGGCCATGAATTCTGTTTGCTTCCTCACACTCATTTTTCTCCTTATCCTCTTCTGTTTTTATGTGAATTCCTGCTCCTTAAACTGCGTGATCTTGATCGCTCGGCGTCATGTATATAATGGATTCATCTTCACCTCCTCCTTCTCTTAAGAGCAGCTTCCGCCTACTCTCGAACTCGCTTCTTTCCTTCATCGTTTCGGAATCTCACTTTCACCACTCAGGCCTCTCCTTCTGTTATCAACCACCACCGACAATTTCTTACCTCCGCCTCCGTCAGTGCCTTCCACTGCTCTGCTCCGCGCTGGAGTCACCGTCTTGATTGGAGATCTCCTCTTAACCTCCGTGCTCAGTTCAGAGCCTTTAATCCGGTCATTGAACGGTTAGAGAGGAAGTTTGCCACGATGGGTACTGATTTCCTAGACTTTCGGAATTTGTTTATTTTGCTTTTTTTTTTCAATTCCTCATATTTAGCTTCATGTGAACATTTTATTTTCTGATTTATTACTTCAACTCGATTAGTGAAGGTCTCTGTCAACTTGATTGGAGATCTCCTCTTAACCTCCGTGCTCAGTTCAGAGCCTTTAATCCGGTCATTGAACGGTTAGAGAGGAAGTTTGCCACGATGGGTACTGATTTCCTAGACTTTCGGAATTTGTTTATTTTGCTTTTTTTTTTCAATTCCTCATATTTAGCTTCATGTGAACATTTTATTTTCTGATTTATTACTCAACTCGATTAGTGAAGGTCTCTGTCAAACTCTTTAAGTTCCAATATTGAGGTAAGAACTTTGCTCTCTTTTTTTGTTTCACTTCTTGTTTTATACCTGTCATCTTCCAGATGTTAACTTGTACTAAGTTATAACTCATAACTAGTCTAATGTCTTCCTTTTCTACTTTTTTTTGCTCCCAA